CCGCATGGCAGGCAGGCAGGCAGGCAGGCAGGCAGGCAGGCGCGGCTGTGTGATGGAGCGGAGAAGGAGGCCCAGCGGCGGCTGCGCGCCGTGCTGACCAGCGGCATGCATGCCACAGCAGGAGGGCAGCATTAAAGCACAGAGCATGAGGGCGGCACAAACTAGAAAGGCAAAGCAGGCGGGGCGCACCTGGCGGGGCTGCGGCGGCGTGAGCTCCCCCAGGGTCATCCCCAGGGCCAGCGCCGCCAGCGGGGCGTGCGCCGCCGCCAGGCTGGCGCTGACCAGGTCCAGCGTGGGCGTGAGCTGGCGCCCCGCCAGCGCCAGCGCCGCCGCCGCCGCAAACGCCCAGGTCGCCGGGTCGGCCGCCAGCTGGGCGGCGCCGTCGCCGAGCGTGCCGCCGCCCACCTGCACGCGCCGTGCCACAGCGGCCGCCTCGCTGGCGCCCTCCACCGCCAGAGCGCACTGCCACTCCTCCAACTCTGACACCAGCTTGCCCTCGCGCCACACGCCCGCCTGCAGGGAGGGCAGGCAGAGGTAGCGAAGAGGAGGCAGGTGGGAGTGAGCAGGGGGGCAGAGGAGGAGAGGCGGGGCAGGCCGTTGGGGGCGGCAGGGAGCCGGAGCCGGAGCCGGAGCGGGGGGCCGGGCCGGGTGATGCAGGGGGCAGGCCGGCACGATGGCAGCCAGGCAACCTCGCAGGCAGGCAGCGTAGGCCGCCAGCCACGCAGGCAAAGCACCGGCAGCCCCCAACCAGGCCCGCAGGGCGCGAGGCATAGGCAGTCAGCCCCGCTTCGCGGCGGCTGCAGCCCCTCCCCTTCCCCCCTCGGCACCCCGCACCTGCACCCTGCCGCTGGCAAAGGTGCGCACGCCCACGCCGTCCATGCGCCCACCCCGCCACTCCCCCTCATACACGCCGCCCTTGGGGAAGCGGTACACACCCCGCCCCTCCTTGAGGTTGTTGCGCCACTCGCCTGCGGCAGCAGGCAGGCAGGCAGGCAGGGGAGGCGGGCAGGGGAGGCGGGCAGGTGGGCTGATGGGGAGGAGGCGTGGGGCTGTGCAGCGGCGGGCCAACGGGCAGCTCCTTGCAACAGCAGCCTGCCGTTTGGGAAGCGACCGCGCCAGCACGCGCTTCGCCGCCGGCCCCGCTCCCGCCGCCGACCGCGCGGCCGCGCCGCGCACAGCGGCGGCGCCAGCGCGGCGGGCAGCCTGCGCCGCCCCCCACCCGCGCACCCTCGTAGCGCGCGTTTGAGGGGTAGGCATACACGCCGTGGCCCTGCTTCAGCATTCCCAGCCACTCTCCGCGGTACGTGCCGCCGTCCAGGTGCTCGTACCGCTCGGGGAAGGCAGCCCCCGCGGTGGAGAACAGCAGGTAACCCGCCAGCCAGACGGCGGCGGAGTTGGCGGCTGCGGCCAGCAGCGCCAGGCGCACGCCCGGGGCGCCAAAGGCGCACGCGACGAGCGGCAGGGCGGCGAGCGGGAGGGCGGCGCCGCCGCCGGCCGCGCCGGCCAGCAGGCCTCGCTCCTTTGGGTGGCGCTGGCGGTACAGCAGCCTGCGGGGACGAGGGAGAGGGGGCGGGGGCAGGCCAGGCGTGAGGGAGGGGAGCAGGGGGCAAGCAGTCAGTCGAAGCCTGCTGCCCCGCTTTGGCACGTTTGCCGCAAGAGCGGGTCGGCAGGTGGAACATGGCAGGCACGCACCAGCTGAGCGCAGCAGAGGTTGCGGTGACCAGGAAAGCGCCGAGCACGACTGCCAGGTGGGTTCCTGACAGCGGCAGGCTGCAGGCAGGAGGAGGCCAGGCGCAGGGTGGCTAGCAGAGGGGTGGCGGTGGCGCAGCGGCACCGTCAGCACAACCCTGCGGGAGCCTCGGCGCGCGGCTCTCGCGCACCCATTGAAGCTCTGCAGTATCAGCGACGGCAGGGTGACCCAGGTGGCAAACTTGGCTGCAGTCTGCAGGGGGTGGGGCATCGGATGGGCATGCAACGTCGAGTTAGCGGGCGGGGTGGGGTGCAACGGGTTGATCGGTGCACTGGGAAGCCTCCGTGATCCCCCACCTCGCCATCAGCGGTGCTGAGCAGCCGAGTCCTGCATAGCGCCCAACCCAGGCCCACAGCGGCCAGCGGCTGGCCGACCGCCAGCAGGGCTGCAGCTGTCGCCTCCATTGTCATTGGATGGGGGGCGGGCGGGTGGCTGTCTGGACCAGACTCCTTCCGGCCGCAGTACTCGTACAATCCTCTCCTTTGGCGATTCCGCAGCCCCTCGCCCAATCCTTATCTGCGTTTACTCGCCACCAGGCCATCCGTGGCAGGCCGGGTGAAGTAACGCAGGCCAGTCAACCTCTTGCCGCCGCCGCCCACAATGCTGCCGCGGCGGCGCTCAGCCCAGGAGCAGCAGCGCGCTGCTACGCGCGCGCAGCTCCAGGACTACAGGCGGCGCCTCAAGGCGGAAGTAGCTGGGGCGCAGCAGCGCGCAGTGGCCGCCGCAGAGCGGCAGTTGGCCACAGCGAGGGCCTGGCCGCGTCCACAGCTGGGCCTGGGCCACGCGGCCGCCTCCCAGGCCTATGCCGCCTATCTAGAGAAGCACGAGGCTGCAGCGCAGCGGCAGCGCCAGGCGGAGGCAACGGCGGCGGAGCGCCACGCGGCGGCGGTGGCTGCCAGGCAGCAGGAGCTCGAGCGCATCGCTCGCGAGGTGGGTGCTGCTGTCAACCCGCGCCGATGCAGCAGTTAGGTGTCAAACGTGCCTGCAAGCCCTCTGTGCATGCTCCGTGCATGCTCCTGGGATGTTGGGCGGACATGCAGCAAGCAGTGCCGCCGCGCCCGCCACCTCCCCAACCGTGCACTGCAGGAGGCGGAGCGGCTGCAGCGCCAGAAGCGAGCCAGCCAGCTGCAGGCGCAGCGCTCGCGCGCCGCCGCCGCCACCTACGCCACGCGGCAGGCGGCAGCGGCGGCTGCCGCCTGCGCGCAGGCGCGCGCCGGGGCGGCGGCGGCGGCGGCCGCTGCGGCAGCGGGCGTGAGCCAGGCGCGGCGCCGCCACACCAGCACCCACATAGACTATCGCTTCACCCGCATACACGACCTGGGCCCCCAGGCTGCTGCCGCAGCAGCGGCAGCGGCGGCGGAGGAGGCAGCGGCGCCCGCCTTTGCGGTGGCGCCTCGGTCGGCTGGCGCCAGGCGGCAGCTGGAGGCTGAGCTGGCGCGGCTGGGGAGCTGCGGTACTGGCGGTCGCGGTACCAGCGCCGCCCAGCCCTTCACCATTGTGCGGTACAGCGACTACCTGCAGCACCTGCAGGCCAAGGGGCGGGACCTGCGGGGCGCATGCCGCTGAGGCTGCCGCCTGGTGGAGTGTGCTGCGGCATGCACACATGCTGACAGAGCTGGGGTGCGGGGCCAATGTGTGACCAAGCAATTTGGCGAGCGGGGTGATTGCCGAGTGAGCCCTCTTGCTTGAAACCTTATTTTTTGCCCGTCAGAACTGGTGGTAAAAACAATCCATGTAGAAACCAAGATCTGTTGGCCGAGGCAGCGCCAGAGAGTCGAGTCACACCGGGCAAAGCAACATGCATGCGTGGGCAGCAGCAACACTCAACGCCTGCCGCCGCCGCGCTCCCTGCCCCGATCCCGGCTCCGCGACCGCCGCCGCTCCCGGCTGCGCGACCGCTGCCTGCGGTCTGGCGACCGCCGCCTGCGGCGGGCACACAGCGGGGGCAAGCAAGGCGATGGGTGAGGATGGGCAGCGGAGGAGCCGAGCCAGCCACGTGGCATTTTGTCAAACTGCAGAGCACAGCCTGCTGCCCCTCCAAGCAGCCTGACTGAGATCTGTTGGCGCATGCTCAGATGCCAAGCGGCGCCTGATGTGCAGCTGCTCATTGGCATCGCCGCAGCGGCGCCAGCCTGCCCCCAGCTGCCCCGCTGCGCTTGCCTGTCTCGGTCGCCTGAGCGGCTGCGCCGGGGGGGCGGCGAGCGGGAGCGGGAGCGCCGAGGCCTGCAGCATATGAGGAGGGGCGGCAGCGGAGGGCAGCAGTCAGCGGCCCAACCACAAGCTAGAAACAGTAACTTTGCTGAAACAAATTTTTATTTTGCGGGCTGCTGCTGCTGCTGCTGCTGCCGCAAGGCCCATCTGCTTGCCCCTCGGCCCGCAGCCTGCACACAGCCGGGCTTGCCGCACAGCAGGCTGTGCATGCACATGCAGAGCGTGCACAGCCGGCAGCCGGCAGAGGGCTGCCGCTGCAATCTTTTCCCGATTGTTCTGGCAACTTTTTTATGTGCAACTGCTTGCTTGCCTGTCGCGGTCGATGTCGTCGCGGCGGCCGGGTGGAAAGTCGGGCCGGAAGCCAGGCGGCGGCGGCCCGCGGTCGCGGAACCCCGGCGGCGGCCCGCGGTCGCGGAACCCCGGCGGCGGCGGCCCCCGGTCGCCGCGGAACGGCGGCGGCGGCGGCCCGCCCAGGCGGTCCTCGTACCGCCCGCCCGGCGGGCCGCGCCGGTCCTCCCTGTCCCTGTCCCTGAAAGGCGGCGGTACCGGCCCGGGACCGTCCCGGTCAAAGTCCCGGCCGCCGTAGGCGCCGCCCCCGCGC